TAAATTAAATAAATAAATAAATAAATAAATAATTAAAAAAAGAAATTAAAAAAAAGAAAAAAAGGTAATTTCCAAGGGTTCTTGGACCACCAACTGTTCCTAGACTTAAAAGAAATAAAGTAATCCTCCTCTGCATGTTCGAATATATGTAAATCTCCTAGAAGGGCATGTGGATGCGTGTGCAAGCACTCACACTTACTTGTACTCACACGGACTCATTCCACACACAAAGTAGCCACCAGCCAGAGTATCCCCCATCTTCTGCCCCAGTACCCAAGCCCTTCAGGCGGATCTGAGCAAATGACATGGGGGATCCCAGCTGGGAGTCAAACATACCATGTAAGTCCTAATTAAAATTACCCTCCAAGACAGCCTGTAAATTACAAGCTTGAGCACCAAGGATCAGAGAGTGTTGATCTGCAGCTGGCGCTGTGGGCTGGTAACAAATTGCCATGTTCGCCAGGCAGGAGCAGAGGGCTTGCCTGGACTCAGTGAGCCTGGCTGAGTAGAAACATGGTCACCCCTCTGCCGCCAGCTAGCAGGCTTGGGTCCAGAACGCCACACACTGCAGCTTTGTCTGGGGCTTGCTCAGGGTTTTCATGAGCTCTCCGCCAAGCCAGGCTTTTTGTGGAACCTGAGCTGAGCTACCTCGTCCTGCAGTATTTCTTAACATCAACATCGAATTTGGAAGAACACACTTAGACGAGCTCTGTTCTCTTCTGGGAAAACGATGTCAGAAAACGTGGTGAGAGGTCACATGGACCACCTCATCGGCCCCACCGACTGCTGTTGGCTCCTGCTTGTCACCCAGAGTGCACTGCAGGACAGGAGACCTGGGCATTCACCCAGAGTGCAATGCACAAGGGGCCCCATTTGCCAGGATGCTCTGCTTGGCTCTTGACATTCTTTTAATTTTATCTTATTATTTTTTATTGAGGTAATACTACATGGCTGTGTGTGTATTAGAAGTATAGAATCCCATAGGCCACCACCATGTCTTGAAATTCTTTATAATATTTGAACAAGGGGCCCCTTATTTTCCTTCTGCACTGGGCTCTGTGGATGATTTACCTGTTGACCCCTCTGGGCCTTTGCATATATTCTGTTCCCCCTGTGGAAAGCTTTTCCCACCTCACCTGCCCTTCTTTTTTCTCACCTTCTTTCCTTCCTTCTTCCTTCCTTTCCTTCCCCGTTGTCTTCTTTCTGTGAGTGAGCAGCAGGGCAATTTGTTACAGCCCTCTTGGGCTCTGCCTGTGCCAAGGGTTTCTAGGGTAGATGAGCCAGAACGGCCTCCGGTCTCATGGAATCTGGCTACAAATTGGTGAAGGAGGCAGGTGAACAAAACCACAAGGAAACAAAATTAATCAATGACAGCCATAGTCACGATGACGATGATGAAGGAATCATACAAAGTGCTAGAAAAAGAATCCCAAGTGTGGGGGAGGGGGGTGCCCTTTGGAGAGGGGGATCCAGTGTTCCACCCCAGTGTTCTCTTCCTTTGTGATCTTAGAAGAACGGGTCTTGAAGCCCCTTGAGCCCAGTCTGGACCTCACCGTCCATTTGCTGTTGAGCTGGCCACGGTAGTGGCAATGATAAGTGGACATGCCTTTCTCCCCTATGGAAGCATGACCTACAAGGACTGAGAGGGTGTCATGAGCGCTTTTGTCCCCCAAACCCTTGGTGGGTGCTTAATAGGTGCTGAGCAAGGCCAAGTGCTTTGTGACAACACCAGCGGTTCTCAAAGCAGGTGAGGAAATGGTGTGCAAGGGACATTTGACACTGCAGGCAATTTTCATTGTCATGAAGTGGGAGGGAGGGTGGCTGTCGGCATCTAGTGGGGTAGAAACCAGAGTCAGGCTTACCTCGCTTCACTGCCCGCTGCTTTATCACGACTCACGGATACTGTGCCCTTTACAGATGGAAGGTTAGTGCTCATTCAACCCTGCGTTGAATGAGTCTATCGGTTCGATTTTTCCAACAGTGTGTGTCTCTGTGTCATATTTGATTAAGGTGTGTATTGTTTTTTAAGACAAAATGCTGTTGCACACTTAAGAGACTACAGTATAGTGTAGACATAACTTTTAGATAGACGGAGGCGTTGAATTCATGTGACTGACTTTATTGTGACGATCGCTTTATGGCAGTGGCATGGAACCCAACCCAAAATATCTCCTTGCAGTGCCTGTTCTGCCAAGCACCCTACAGTACGCAGAACAGCCCCCAAACAGAGGGCTCTCCACCCCATTGCCGAGCATGCTGCACTCTCTATATCACACACAGTTGCGTGGAATAACCGGTATGATCCCAGCAGGCTCACACGAAAGAGCCCCTCAGAGTCAGCCGCGGCTGTTCTAGAAGGCATGGAAGTGTCTACCAGCCCTGGACTTCCACCTTCTCCTCTCCACTGTCATCCCACAAGCTCACGATGGTAAGAACCCCAGCAAGCCCCAGACGGCGGTGATTTCCTCTAATCCAGCCCTTTTGCCCCAGTTTCCTTCTGACCAAGGTTTCTCCTGATGCAGCAAAAATTCATTTCCTCAGCAGCAGATATTTCTGAGCTCACCGGGACACCCAGGAACATGATTGAGCAAGTTCAAGAGCAAATAGCTGCTGAAGGGGTTTTGAGTTGAGGAAGGAAGGAACTAAAACTTGCTAAGAGCACTTATGACAGCCAAGCACTTTTCCCAATATAAGCCACCACATCCAGCTTCAAGGGAAATATTATCGTGGCCCCCCCGCCCTGTTCTAAAAAGAAGAAACTGAGGGACGATCATTCTTACAGGGCCACACAGCTACTGACAGGTCAAACTGGGACTGAAACCCAGAGTTTTTTCTGCTATCTAGATAGATGGAGATATATAATTTTATATTAGCTATATTTTTATTATTTTCCTCCTTTATTTCAAAGTGGATTAAAGTACCTCACGGATATATAAGTCAGGGTAAGGAAAATAGGAAGGGAAAAAATGATAGAAAAAGAAAATGAAGCAAAGGACAAGGTTAGTACTAAAAATAAGTGCCATAAAGTCTTGTAGACTTGCTACAGATGGACAGTCAGATTAGACTGAGCTTCCTAGTGGCCAAGGCAGAGAGGGAATTAGCATCTATTTTTCTGTCCTGATGCTCCCAGAGCTTAAAATAAATATATTAAGAGCAGAGCTATCTTGACACTGAGAGAAATTCTTCCCATGGATTCTTTAAAAGTGGCGAGAGCCATTCACTTCCCAATTTTGTGACATCAAGTGATTGGGGGCAAATTTTGGTTTAGATGCAAATGTTGCTAATAAATCAAGTGTGCAAAATGGTAATGGTGTCTATTGATGAACTGAAGTTTGAGTTAAGTATCATTTGAGAGAACTTACAACTGTCAAAGAGATACTTTGTGTTGTATTCAGACAGAACAGGCCAGGGAATGCTGCAGCAACAACGCTAATATCTCCGTGAATTTCCACATCAAGAGGCCATTCCTTACTCAGAGTCTATGTCCCTCTTGGGTTTGCTGAGGCTTCTTCTCTGTGAGATGCTCAGGCAGGAGGCCAGAGCAGGAGGCCCCAACTCCACGATTCCAGGATTTCCAGAGAGGAAGATAGGAGCACAGTGACATGCGCTTGGGCTTTTAAAACTTATGCCCAGATGTGGCATATGTCACCTCCATTCACAGATCTTTGACCATAGATCCGTTGGCCCCACCCAACAGCATGGTGGCTGGCTTCTGCTGGCAGATGATGCAAAGGAGAACAAGAGGGTGCCCAAGAGGGAGCCACGGCCTCCAATGCTGTAGCCTCAGGAATGACCTCCCACCACCTCACTTTACTGTATTTGTTATAGGTGAGTCACTGGGTCCACCCCACACTCGGGAAGAGGAATCACACAAGGCCATAGATACTCAGGTGATGGGAGACCACTTTAGAGACTGCCAGTGGGGTTATGCCAGACAGACAATTGTCATATCCCACTTCTGCCACCACCCATTCTACCACCTTGGCATGGGAGCTGACCTGCTTAAGGTCCCTTCTTCCTGCAGGACAGTGGTAACAGGACGTCCATTGCGGGTAGATATCATTTACTCATCCATCACCCAATGGACGCGCCTGATCTTGGACTGATAAACACTCACTGAACTTCCAATTCTTGTTTGTTCTGTCTTCTCCTTTGACCCTGTGTAGGTCCTTTGATGTAGCAGAAGATGATCTCTCTCTCCAAACATTTTATTAGTGCAGCCGTAACAAGGCACAGTGAGCCCAAACACATTCTCAGTCAAAGAGTTAGTGCCACATACACATATAGCTTCCTTGGCGCCCCTGGTGGCCTAATGGTTAAGTTTCAGTGCTATCACCAATATGGTCTGGGCTCCGTCCCAGACCAGGTTGTGACCCACATGGCGCAGCAGACCTCTCCTGTAACGCCCGCTGCTCCCCTCAGCAGTGTGTTTCAGTAGATCTGCTGTTCTGCTCCCCACTCTGTCTCTGGTGAGTCCTCTCACCTCCTATACCTCTGGCCTACACCCAAGTTCTTCTACACAAAAAAAAAAAAAATGTTTAGATATATATATATATCTAAACTTTTACATATGTATATATAGAGAGCGCTTCCTTTTTTTGTAGTGTCGGCATTATCACTGGGAAGTGAAACAACTTTCTGCGGCAGCAGGTTAGGAAGGAAGGGATCCTTACCAAGTACATTCACAAAAAGGCGCAATCATGGATTCAGCTCCTTTCGTGCAGAATGCCCAGGACAGAGCTGTCAATTCTGTTCATGACCAAGAAGCAAACACTAGAACAAGAACTTGGTGTTATTTCCAAAATAGTTCATTCATGTCCTGTTGCGCACTGTTCTAAGTGACAGAAAAAGGGCTAAGCAAAGTTATTTCCAGACACGGAAGTTGTATAGTAGCTCTTAAACCTGCAATTTAGGTTTTGGGTTTTCCATTACCAATGAACGATACTGAAATTCTCTCAATTGCAGTTAAGTAATTCCGCTATTTCTTGTCGTAAAGAAATGGAGGAAGCTCGAGGACAAATGCCGCGGGCCACACCGAGCCTTCGGTGGAGGTTGGTGGTTCCAGCAGACTCTCAGCCACTCACCCGCCCAGTTTTCTAGTTTTCCCCGCTGGCCTCGATTTCTCACACATGAAGCAGGGTGCAATCCGACACGGACACTTCCTGTCAAGGTAAAAACCTCGGCGTTTCTCAGTTCTGCTTTTTTAAGGTTTCCTGGACTTTAGGGCATAGCATGCTCTGTCCGTTGCCATGGTTGTGGCCATGGTGTGGCTGCTGTGTTCCAAGAAAAACTCAGTTACCAGGGACCTCCTACCTGCCTCCCCATCATTAGCTTGTGATGTGCTCTAGGCGTCTAGTCCAAAGCAGAATCAGTCCCCTGAATCATCAGCGGCAGCGCCAGCCGAAGAGGGAGCTCACCCGGTGGCCCGACAATTTGGTTTGTAGGCACCTGGCAGGCTTTGGTGTTTTGGTGTGGGGCTGGGCACATGATCTTATCTTTGACAATCCCCCTTCCTTTTTTTGGGGGGGTAATTATTATGTAAAATGCTCCTCTTCTACCACTTCCAGGCAGCCTTTCCAACCCAACTGCCTCCCACAAATACATTATATGGGAATGTACATTTTCTTGGGGCCCCTGGAGATGGAGGGACTAGGAAAATGAGTGGGAAGGCATGTTTCACTTTTCTTATTAGGACATATTTATTTATTTAAAATCTCTATTTATTTTTGCATAGAAGAGCTGGGGTATAGGCCAGAGGTGGGGGGGTGGGGGGGCTTGAGAGAGGACTCACCAGAGACAGAGTGGGGAGCAGAACACGTGGATCTACTGAAATACACTGCTGAGGGGAGCAGCGGTAGAGTCAGGAGAGGTCTGCTGTGCCGTGTGGGTAGCTCCCTGGCCGGTGATCGAACTCATGCAGCAGTGGCTGGACATAGCTTGATAGCGCTGAGACTTAACCCCTGCGCCACCAGGGAGGCCCTACTTTTTGTATCTTTATTTTTTAAACACAGGATAAAAATTTTGAAGATGAAGCAATGACTCAGGTCTGGAAGCTCGGCCCAGGACTCCTCAAGCATCCTAGAGAACTTGTTGAGGTGCAGTTTCCCAAGCTCCACCCTAGACAGCCTGAGATGGTAGGTTTGGGGCCAGGCCCAGGTGTCACACCCCTCCCCCTCCTTGCCAGCCTAAGAACCATCAAAAGGCGGCTCCAGGCCTCAGAGCCAGATTCCTCTGGGGGGGAGAGGGGAGGAGGTAGGGAGGCTACACCCAGAGTGCACTGGTGTCTCCCAGGCCAACTCTCTGGGGCACCCCTCGGTGAGCAGGAGGTGCTGCGCAGAGGGTGTGCGAGGTGCAAAGAAGTAGGACTAAAGAGGTTCACTCAGGGAGGACACGAAGTTGACCCCATGGGGGGGGGGTGTTGGGTATGTGAGGCTGCCACTTTTCTCAGTAGTAAGGGAGCTCCATCCCCAGTCCCCAGTGCACCCAGCATGCTGAATCAAGCTGAATGGAAAGCAGCCAATATGAGCTTTTTGAAACTGTGATTAGTTTGCATTTGGGGGATTAAGGGAGTGCACCCAGAAGCCCAAAGCAGCTGTGGTGAGAAAAACTGATTCCAAGAGAATTTTTGATAAGGCTCTGCAAGCTGGCGCTCCCTCGTCCCCCTTGGGCAGCGGCCCCATCCCTCCCCCAGGGGTGTCAGAGGAGACTGGGAACGTGAGCCTCTGTGGGGCTGGGTCCTTCAGGAGAAGGATGAGGAGGACATCCTTTGTGTGGTGTGGAAGCAGTTTCCAAGGAATTCAGTTTCCCAGCTGCTCTTTCCTCAGCTCAGCCAGAGCGGAGGATGAGCTCTGGGGTCTGATGGACAGAGGCTGGGTTCCTTCCTGCCCTCCCGCTGCTCCCTACCTCTCCTCCCTCCCACGCCCCTTTCTTCCTCCTGACCCCTCTCCATCCCTGACTCTCAGCCCTCAGATTCTAAGAAGCAGTCACGTAGACAAGCTCCCTGGATTTAGCAGCAGCCTCCTCCAGATACATCCAACGCTAGGAAGTCAAGGCAAATGACGCCAACACGCCCCACCTTCTCCACAGCTGTCCCTTGAGGTCCAAGCCCTGTTTGCAAAATGGGGCCCGTGGCTCCCCAGGCCTGAGATTCTCAGGCTCCAGGAACTCCAGGAACTCCTCTGGAAGGCACACACCGGCCCCCCAAGGTCACGGATCTCCTCTTGGGCCCTCCCAGGCCTTTTTTTTCCCCCAGGCCCTAATTCTGACGCAGCCAGTTGTGTGGCTGGTGCTGGAGGCCTTGCTCTGGCCTGTGTGATGAGCGCATAAAGCGCCAGTGACAACACAGGTTTCGGGTTGGGTGCACTGCTTGCCATCTACTGACAACAGCCAGTTCATTTTGGTTTCAAGAATCAAACTGGTTTCTGAAATGCAAGAAAGAGGAAGATGCAGCCTGAACCGGCCTGACACTTCTGGAGAGCAAAATATCCAATGGGTGTGTGGTTTAGTGAGGATCATCCGCACGGTTAGAACTAAGAATTTAGTTCAGCTTCCTGGGGCTGCTGGTCTTGTACCCTGAAACCACAGAGTTGAGAAATACTTGGGAGACCAAAATGAACTTGAAGTGAAGAAAACAGATGCACCCAAGTGGAGCGGGAGCTCTGACTTCGGGGAGGCAGGCATGTAAGTATGTGCGCGAACACACACACACACACACACACACACACACACACACACGGTCCAGCCATTTTGTGACTGTGAAGAGGAAGGAAGGAGAAAGGAGATGAGGGTAGGTGGCAAGCGGGAAGAGAAAGCCATGCAAAAAGGGGAAGGAAGGGTCTTGGGAGTGGTGTGTAGGACAGAGAGACGTCCAGCCATTGGGAAACCGAGTTCATAGCTCCCTTCATTCCGGCCTGCCATGGTGAGCGGGTCCAACCAGCATGAGAAAGGACCTCCCACTGTGTGCACAGGCTGTTTGGGCAGTGAGAATGGGGTTGATGTACCACTGATCTAGCATTGGGGGTGCTACCCGGAAGCTGGGCTGACCATGTTCCCCAGAATTCATGTCCAAGAAGACCTCTAGAATGCGGCCTTCTTTGGAAATAGCATCTTTTTTTTTTTTTAATAAAGGCATGTTTTATTTATTTGTTTGTTTGTTTGTTTATACAAGCACTGGGTACAGTCAGAAGTGCAGGAGGGTGAGAGAATTCACCAGAGCCAGAGCGGGGAGCAGAGCAGGCGGAAGGACCAAAGTACACTGCTGAGGGGAGCAGCGGGCGGCAGGAGAGGTCTGCGCGCCATGTGGGACCCTCCTCCGGTGGCCGGGGAGCAGCCGGGGATCGAACCGGCGCTGCAGAGGCTGCGGGCAGCTTCGCAACCCAGCGCTCAACCGCTGCGCCACCGGGGAGGCCCTGGAAATAGCATCTTTGTAACAGTAATTAGTTGGAAAAAGGTCATACCAGGAGGGTGGGCCTGCAATCCAATGGCAGGTGTCCTTGGAGGAGGAAAGCAAACATGGAGGCGCACACAAATACAGGGGGACAGACGTGGCGAGCGGAGCAGCACAGCTCCAAGCCAAGGAGCACCAGGCCTGCCTACAGCCACCAGAAGCTGGGCAGCACGAGGAGGGTGTCTCCAGACCCTGCAGAGCAAGCACTGTCCTGCTGACACCTGTCAGAAGAAATTTCTGCTTTTATCAGTCACCCGCTTTGGGGGAATTTGTTATGGCAGCCTCAGTAAACTAATAGACCATCACAGGAGACAACCAGAACACAGATACTCCTCATTTTACAAATACCACATTAACAGAAACATGCCTGTCAGAACGGTGCTCCCTTTGGCGTCTTTGTTCTGTGGTAGCTGAGTTCTGGTTTCAGTTACTGTAGAGTGCGCACGCGCACACACACAAGGCCCTCACAGAGCAGAAAGATGAACTTCTGCTGTTTGTGACAACATGGATGGAACTGGACGGGGTTAGGCTCAGTGAAATACAAATCAGAAGGAGAAAGGCAAATACCAGGTAATTTCATTCATGTGTGGAATAGAAAAAACAAAGCAAAGGAACAGACTAAACTAAAGCCAACACTCCCTACAAATCTGACCCTAGAAAACAAACCCCAAAATCTGCAGAACTGAGGCTATCAGAAGGGAAGCGTGGGTTTGAAGTACGAATGGGGGGTGTCTAGATGGTCCAGTGGTCCCACGCGCCCCAGGCACCACTTTATTTCCTTCTCTCTCCCCCTGCACGTTGAAGGACCATCATCCCCTTAAAATGGCTCTTCATCCAGTCATTCATCAAAGAATTATTTAGTCACCATTGGGTGCGTGGCACTTATGTTGGCACTGAGAGAGGATTAAGGTGGGATTGAATAGGATTGAGGTGGGTCTAATCCTCAGGCATGATGATCAGTTTCCAGAAAGAACAAGGAGTGTTAGGACAGGCAATCCTTGTATCCTAAGGAATCCCACCCAGTGGTAGAGAATATTGGAAGGTGACAACGAAGGATGAAGAGCATGGTGTTTGGATGCGTGGGTGCTACGTCAGCCGTGTTTTGGGCAGAGGGACAAAGTGTCTGAAAAAGCCCACAGGGAATGGGCCTGGGGACCTGGGATTGGGCAGAAGCCGGTGTGGCAAGGAGCATGGAGGTACAGGTGGGCTTCACCTAGAGGGGAGCAGGCACCTTTTGAAGGGCTCTGGGGTAGAGGCATCCTCATGTTTGTGATAGAAAAGGACCACAGGCATGGCAGAGATGGTGAAGCCCTGGAGGGCTGGTGAAAACTTTTCCCTGGGCCCTATTTCTGTGATTCTAATTCAGAGACTGAGTTTGCATTTGTAACAAATTCATGGGTGATACTGATGCTACTGGCACAGGAATTACACTTTAGGAACTTCCAAGGATGGTGTTGCAGGAGGCCGGGGTGCTAGAAGAACGATTAGATGCTGTTCCAAGTGATGGACTGAGGGAAGGGAATGGAGGAGGAGAGGATTCTAGGTGGACCTGGTGCTGTCCCGCTGATGAGGAGAGGCCAAGAGGATGCCTCCATCTTGCTAAGTGCAAGGGACCGTTCATTCCCTTCCTATTCTGCCCCCCTTGGCTGCCTCTGACAGAAGGGCTTGCTTCCTGACATCGGTTACACCACTTCTCTTAACTTCCATCGAGCTGATGTTATCTTCTCCGCTGTTCCTCTTCTAGCATTTCCTATGCTCCGTCCTTGAATTCATTGTCTGCTGCCATTTGGAAGAGAGCATGTTCTCTCATTTTTCCCTGGGGGAGGAAGCTCCTGGACATCCCCTGGGTCCTACCACACACTATGCCCTCGCAAAGTGTTTGTGGAATACCGTCCAGCGTGATGGCAGGTTTCCTTTATTCTTTATTACTCCACAGGACTGGAGCCCTATCTATTTCATTTCTCTTGGCACCTCTTCTCATCCGCAGCACAGGGTGGGCACACAGTAGGTACTGAGCTGGTATTTATGAACAGATGCTCTCACCATATTTATGCTCTCACCATATTTCAGCTCTAGGAACACAGATTAATCTCTCAAATTTTCAGACTCCTCATGTGTCACGTGGGAATGAATACTAGATTTTACATCCTAAGAGTTGCTTTGGGGTTGAAGTAAGAGAATGTGTGTGAAGTGTGTAGCACATAGTAAACATTAACTATCATTCTTGTTTTTATTGCTGCTACTTGCGAGGCTTTGGGAGAGGTGCTGAATTTGTCTAAACTTCAGTGCTACCACATTCAAGTCTGCTCTCTCCAGCTGGGCTGTCGTGAGTGGAGGGTTTAGCAGCTGGTCACCTGTAATCAAAGTTGAGTTTCTTTCCTAAAACGCTCCCCTTCCCCAGCCCTGGAGAGCCCATACAGCACTGCCGTGTTTTATCCCCTTGATGGGATATAGGGGTGACAAAGGCAAGAAAGTGTTGGGGATTGTGCCTAAGCCCCTAGGCATTGTTTCAAAACAAAGAACATTCCTTTAACCTGGGAAGATCTGCATCCCATTAACACTTGCTTCCTCAACTGAGTCTTCCTAAAGAGCTTAGTGTAGGCTAATATTGAAAGAAAAAACATGAAAACAAATGGAAATCAACTCATAGTCATTTGGAATCACCTCAAATTAGTTGGACAAAGCAAACCTTCTTGGGTATCTCTCTAGATTTGGAATTACGCTCACTTCTCTCCTGAAGGACCTAGACTAGACACAGATCATTGCTACCTTTCTAGTGGTAGATCGTACTGAGTTTAAGTTTAATTTCTAAAACCAATCCCTCGTCTCATCCTATTTATTTTCTAATCTCCTCTTTTGAAACAAGCTTATAATGGTCTATAGCTTAACGGGGAAACTTTGCATCGCTCTCTAGCACATGGGTAGTGTTAGGAGACACCATTTACCACCTTCTAGCCTAAGGTTATTTATTGCTGGGTAGAAATGCTCCGGGGACCATACCTTGTGCGCTAAGAAATTATTGCTTACTGAGTCAGCATGGGCTGTTGCAAACAAACCACAGAACTCTCCCCCACCCCCCATGCAACTTTTTTGGGGGGGCCTTCTTCCCCAGCTTTGTGCCAGAGTTCGTCTTAAAGCCCAACGGAGAACTCTACTCGCTTACGGAAGCTGTGAGAAGCAGAAATATTAGACTGAGGTTGGGAGAACTGTGTTCATTGAAAAATTTGATTGCTTTCCTAATGTGGAGCTTCTTTGCTGTTTCCAAATGGCAGCAGAAAATAATACTTCCTTCCTCTTCATACATTCCATTCCTAAGCAAAACCACCGCAGACTTCCCCCCGGGAATCTCCATTCATTCCTGGACAGTGTTCTGGATAAAAGGCAGTCAGTATTAGTTAATCCTTCCTGTATTTTCCGGACCAAACTGTAAATCCCCTCTCTCCCCCTGCCCCTCCTTTCTAGTTCTGGATTGGTGTCATCTACAGAAGACATTGCTGCGTAACATAGAACTGGGCACTCCGAGTCCTAGGGTCAAGGCTGGGCTGACTTTCTGGAAGAAGCTGCCCTGTTTTCAGACTGTCCTCTGGCTCAGGGGATCTTGGAGGCGGTCGGAATGGCCCCCTTCCATCCCCACAGTGACACTCTGCTTCCCTCAGCTTCTCCTGATCACTTGGATGGGGCAGTTGTTTTCCTAGCAAGGAGCTGTCTTACTCTACAGGCTTGTCCAGACTTAGTGATTCAAGCTAATACCTTCTGGTTCCCAAATGAGTCACTCCAGGGCTGCACTCCAGCCACAAAGGGGCAAAGAGTGAAGTGTTTAAGATCACCCCCGCTTGCTTTTGTAACACTTTGAACTACTCAATTTATGTGGATTGTATCTCCCTTTGAATTTAGGATCTAGGGTGTGACAGCTTGAAGCTATTAGGGTGGGTCTTAGGACCCAAACTGAAGGATCAAGAAAAAGACTTTAAGGGCTTGAATACATTATTCCAGGGTCAGAGCAAAAGACAGTAATTATTTATTGATTTATGGGTGGTGGTGGTGGTGGCGGATTAAAATCCCAGAGTCCAGGGATCTGAAGATCTGAAGTTCTATTCTGTGGCCGAGACAATGAGATAATTAGAACAGAGATAGTAACTTCCACTTACCTATGTGGTCAGTGTTCTGTTTCTCTTTCGGGCCGTGGGTTTTCAAAGGCTTATAATTAATAATATCTACACTCAGAGATGCCTTTTCATGTCCTAATGAGAAGCATGTGTCAGGAGTGTCCGGGTGTTAAGAGGTTGGAAGGAAGGGGAGCAGGTAGTTTCCTAAAGAATGACTCATGACGAAAAGCAAGTGTGTTTGATTTTACGATGCGAACAGTAGCATTCCCAACTGGCTGCTTCCCAGGGGCGAGCGGTGAATCTCATCTAACAAATGGCTGAGGTGGGTGGGAATGAGCTGTGGGCTTCTCCATGGGAAAGGAGACATTTACAAGGAACAACAAACCAGAGAAACAAAACACACATGAAGGGAATTGATGGATGACCAGCCTAGATGCTAAAGCTGAAGGTCCAGAATCCACTGGATGGGACTCCTGTTGTCCTGGGCAGCCAGGTCAGGGGAAGGATGGGGGCCCGCGTTTGAGTTCAGGGTCTACTCCTTATTAGCAGAGGTCTTTGGGCACCCGGATGGGTCTTTCTGTGCCTCCATTTCCCCTTTTCTTATGTGGAAATCCCTGGTACCTCCTTCAGAGGGTTGCTATCGAGTTAAAATACCTGGCACCTTGGCAAAGTTTCTTAGTGTCGTTACTTGAGTCATTGTGTCAGACCCCAACTTCAAGCTGTCACTAGGAAAACTTTAGACAGGAAGGCCAAGGGTGTGAGTTAAACCACAGGAAGGCCAAGAGTGTGAGCTAAAGTGCTTTTTGAGAAGCAACGGCCTGGGAGCAGCTTACTCTGCTTCCTGAGAGCAGTTAAATAACTCCTCGGAACTGCTGCTCTTTTCCTTGCTTGTATCACAGTTAATCATGGGCCTCTCAGAGCTCCTTTGGGGCTTAGGAGGCAACCCTGTAAAGGGCCTGGGACCTAGTAGGAGCAGGCAAGCCTTCAGTTGGTCCCTATTTGACCCTCTGGCTTTTCGTGGCCAGAAACCCCCAGGTTCCACTGAGTGGGGAAGGCACGGGTTAAAACAAGAGTAGAGTTCCTCCTTCATCTCCCTCCCAACCCCCAGCCCTCCTTTGCCCTTTGTGGACTTAAGTGTTATCTTTCACTTCTGGCATCCCTCTTCCCTTACCTCTAACCTCACCAAGCCTTTCATTCTTTCAAGTATCAGCTCCAGCCCTTATCACCCAATCTCCAGGAAGTCTTCTAGCCCTGACAGCTTAAAGGCCTGAAAGCCCCACAGACCCATTTTAACAAAGCAAAGCCCTCACCCTTTCTTAAACAACTCTTCTCCCCATCTTTGTAAGCTCGTTCCCTCAAGGGCCAACTTCAGTTAATTTGTAATTGACGAGCAGAGAGTAAAAAGAAAAGAAAGCGAACACACGACTTTAAGATTTGGCTCCATGATATATTTGCCAGTTATTTTATTTTTTTCTAAAAACAATAGAAAAAAATCAACTTTATAAAGGAAAATGTACTTAAATAAAAAAAAAATCAAGGTTTATAATACAGGGTTTGAAATCTGGTATGCCTGCTATAAACGTTTTATTAAAGTTATTTACATTTAATGTCCATATTTACACAGGAAAACTTGGGTAAACTTTTAAGATTCTTCTTTAAAAACAATTCTTAAATACAAATCTGTTAAAGGAAAAAAATGGCAAGCATAAAAAGGTCTTTTATGCCCAAAGTCCCAGTTGAGGCAGTTTACATTAGATGGCTAAATCGTTCAGTCCACAGACTCAGCCACGGTTGTGAGGTTGCACTGACCGGCATGCATTTGACGACATCCATAGGTAATGGATTGCTGCACTCCTGTCAGAAGGAACCTTCCCCCCTAGTTTCCAACAGTATCAAGTCAAGTCGCGAGCTATTCCAGTTCCTCCCTCCAACAGGTCCATTCAGGCGCAACAGCTCTGGAGCTGCTCCAGTTTTTGTTTCAACTGTTCATGCCGCTTCCGTAAGGAGTCCCTTTCTGAAGCGAGCTTTTGCTCCTCTGTTTGCACTGACACGATGTAGGCCGTGGCTTTCTTAAGGATCACTACCTTGGGCGCCTTTTCGTTGTTTTCCAACTCGGGGATCTGGTCCCGCAGGGCAAAAAAGCTCCGTTTCAGCTCGTTCCTCCTCTGGCGTTCCAGGACGTTGTGTGTCCGCCTCTTGTCATTCTCCTCCGTGTCCGAGGACCTGGGGCTGGAGCATTTGCGGTTGTTGCTGATCTGTTTCAGGACTCTGCCACTGTCCAACTTTGCCCTCTTGGCGGCGGGGTAGTCCTTCCTGGTGGACGGGGGCGCTGCGTAATTGTGCTGATGGGTAGACACGTGGCATCTCTTAAGGACCAGCGGGCTGTGAGGGGGTCTGCTGTGGCCACCGCTGGAGGGTGACCCCGATTCTGACCTTTTGGCAGGGGGCTGCCTCTTTTCCACAGAAACAACATCAATTTCTTCCTCATCCTCTTGTTCTTCCTCTTTAGGAAAGGACATAGAAATCACCTGGTTAGCAAAGGTTTCCTTGAAAATCAATCAATGACCAGATTAAATTCACGCGATGCGCATGGAACTAAGGCTGAGTCTGTTGAAAGGCACCTGGCGCAAAGTTAGCTACACAAGAGAACTCACTAGCCTATCACCTCTGCTCTTCTCCCCATAAAGGCAGAGTTTCAGAAAGGAAGGAATGACAGCTGGATTTATGGCATAGACAAGAAAATTACAATTTAGCAGCGCACAACATTGATGCCAATTCTTACCTAAGACTTAATGAGGCTTTGGACACACCCAGGGTGAAGCACATTCCCAAGCACCTCCTATTTTTAAGGGACTTTACCCTTAAAACCTCCAGGTGTTGCAAAGGATCTCCCTATGATTTTGGCAACTCCCCATTTTACTGGAAGTGCAAAAAAGAAAAAAAAAAAAAAAAAGCAACTCTGGAGCTTTGCCAAAGGTCCTAGGAGGTGGAGGCAGGTATAAAAGAACTCCAGTTTTGGCAAGGGTTGGCTCCTAAGTGTTCAAAGTGGACTGACAAGATCCCAACTCCTCGTTCCCTCCACTCTTAAGGCACTTTCACTAGCTCAGGCATCAGCCGCCCTGCCAGGGTCTAGTTCCTTCTACATTTCTGAAGATCAGTACTCCCTTCAATTCCGGCAACTTTTCAGAAGCTAAGAGAGGAGTGAAGCCATTCATTCACTCTTCAAGAGATCCACAATCTGTCATCCTCATTCACACCCCTCTCTACCCCCCCCCCCCACTGCCAGGACAATTAAAATGCTTAGGAAAGGTAAGAGGGAGAGGATTGAATTGCAAGATAAGCCAGAAGATTAAAAAACCAAATGAAATTCCTAAGGGGCGGGAGGGCACCGAGTAGTTGGCCACCAGGGCGGGTCTTAGGGGAAGGGCCTGGAGAGGACCGTGTTCCAGGGAAGCCAGGCACCCAGATCCCCTGGCTCTGCCTTTTCTCTTTCCACGTATAAGAGAGAGAGAGAAAAAAAAGGGGCAGGTCCATGGAGTTGGCCGCCCAGGAGGACAGGACAGGACAGGAAAGACACCCAGCCTCCCCCCTCGGCCTGGCCCGGGGGTGCCCAGTGCCCGGCTTACCAGAGTCGCTGCTGGTGGTGGGCGGCGTCTCCTCGTGCAGCGCCAGCGGCTGGGGGCTGGCTCTGGGGGAGGACTCGGCCGAGGACAGCAGAGAGTCCGAACACGGGGAGAAGGCGGTGGAGTCGGGCGAGGCGCAGGGCTTGGGCGAGCTGCTGTCGTTGAGCGGGTAGGGGAAGACCACCGAGGGGTCGATGCACTCCGCGGCGGCGGCGCTCATGTCCTGCAGGTACAGGCTGGAGGTGGAGCAGCCGCCGTGGGCGCGGGCGGGGCTCGGGGCGCCGCTGTCTTTGCGCGCAGCCTGGTAGGAGACCAGCTTTTCGGACACCAGCTTGGCGGCGGCCGAGAAGCCGCTCCACATGCAGTCCTGGATGATGATGTTCTTGATGAAGGTCTCGTCGTCCGGGTCGCAGATGAAGCTCTGGTTCACCATGTCCCCCCGAGCAGCTCGGTGACCATCTCCAGCTGGTCGGCGGTGGAGAAGCCACCGCCCCCGTCATCGTCGCCCCGGGGGGAGAAAGAGGCGACCGCCGCGAAGTACGAGGGCGAGCAGAGCCCGGAGCGGCGGCTCGGGGACAGCGGCGGGGTGGGCAGCAGCTCGAATTTCTTCCAGATGTCCTCGCTGGGCGCGGGCGGCTGCAGCTCGCTCTGCTGCTGCTGCTGGTAGAAGTTCTCTTCCTCATCGCAGTAGAAATACGGCTGCACCGAGTCGTAGTCGAGGTCATAGTTCCTGTTGGCAAAGCTGACGTTGAGGGGCATCGCGGCAGCCTGCAGACAGGGGCGCACAAAGGGCAGGGCGGTGTTGAGTCGAGGGGCGCTCGGCGGGTGCGTAAAAAAGCCCCGCGCTGCGCCCAGGGCGCTCCGCGCTCGGGCACCACTCCCCGGCCGGCGCCGGCCCCCGCGGGGGCCTCCCGGGAACAGCCGCTCGGGAAGGGCGCTCTTTGCGCCGCCCCCCGATTTCCCCGCGCGGATCTCTCCGGCCCGGACCTGCTGCGCCCGCAGGGCGCGCGCCCTCGGAGCTCCGCGGCCCCGAGCCCCGAGCCCGCAGCCCCGGAGTCCAGCGCGCGGCGGCCGCCGAGCAATCGGAGGCGGCTCTGGCCTCGCCAAGAGGCCGGGAGGCGGCTGCTGGGAATACAGCCTGCCGAGCGCCGAGAGCCAAAGTTTTGCGCCACCTGAAGGAGAGCAGCGGCGCCGCGGCCCCCCTCCCTTGCGGGGGCCCCTCCGCGCCGCGCCCGCGCCCCCTCGAGCCCTCGCCGGCTCCCCGCCCGCCCGCGCCGCCGCCCTCCGGCTCCCCACCCCCGCCCCCGCGCGCCCCCCCGCTTCCTTCACCGGCTTTTTTTCCCTTCACCGGCTTTTTTCTCCTTCCCCGCGCCGGCTGGGGTGGCAATCTCAGCCGCGGGGCTTCCACTTCCCCCCACAAATAAAGGGGGGGTGTTAAAAAATAACAGGGGCGCCTCCTTTCAACACCCACTGCGGAGACGCCGCTGCGCCCAGATCCCAGCGAGAATCCGCGCCGGTGCCCGGGCGCCTGCCCCTCAAGGGCCGGGGGCGGCAGCTGTTCTGGGGGAGCCCCGATCCCTGCTCCTCCGCATCTCAGGGGCGCGGGGGCACCCGCGGGGGGACAGCAGAGGCGCCGGGGAGCACAGACTGCGCGCGGAGATTTATCTTCCTTCCCCCCCGATTCAAGGGTCGGAGCAAAATCCGGCACATCCCGCCCGGCTTGCCCTGCCCTACCCCCCTCCGCGAGCCGCCTCCACACCGAGCCCTCACACCTCCGGAGAGCCAGATCTTTAATTTTATTATTCTTTTAAAGAGCCTAAATGCCAACTTCTTAAAAGGAGCTGGGGGCGACCTGGAAACGCCGCGGGGACTGGCAGGCGGGCGCGCCGCGGAGTCTGTCTCCGGCTGTCAGAAATGCGCAGAGCCGAAATTTAAATGCCCTTTGCGAGGCTGGGTAAAGTCAGCGGCTGCGGAGCCCTCCTGCTCGCACACGCAGGGTGGCATTTTCACTCCCAGGAACTCGGCCCGCCAAGGGCTTTCTGCCCACCTTGAAGCGCAGCCACGGTCCCCTCGCCACGCTCACCCCCAAAGCAAAAAGCAAGAAATGCAATAAAGCGACCGCACAGCTGGCCGGGGTCAGCGCCCACGGATAGGGGCAAAAAAAAAAAAAAAATCCCTAAAGACTCGTTAAAAAATACAACAACAAAAAACCACACACGCACACCCCAAAAGGCTCCCCGCTTTCCCCTTCCCCCTCCCCACGGCGTCTTGTCAAGTCGCCCAGCCCCGGATCCAGCTCGGGTTCACCCCGACCCTACCCCGACCGACTCCAACTCTTCTGGGGAAAAGTGTCAATAGCTCAGAAAGGGGCGAGAGGCAGCCCGAGCCGGGGCGTGGGACCCAACGCAAAATTCAAGGGCTCGAGAAAATAATGGCACGCAAAATAAGATCGGGGTGCTTACCGGCTTGGGGACGATCCGCAGGGAATCCAGCGCCCGCAAAGCGGCGAGGCGCGCCCTTCAGCAGCGGGGAAAAGTGTCTCCGAATAGAAGAATGACTGGTCCTCGGCGCCCGACTGTAAGTTCCAGCGGAAAGTGCCCGCCCGCCGCGGTGGGCAAAGTTTCTCGCGGGCGGTGGGGGCGGCGCGCCGCCGGCGGGGGTCCGCGGGGCGCTGGGGTGGGGGCGGCCGGATCCCGGGCGAAGCCTCCCGCCCGCTCGGATGTCCCCGCTCGGGGTCCCCGAGCGCGTCTCCACCAGCCCGGCAGGCGCTGCTCCTCCAGCCGCGCGGGCCCTCGCGCTCCTTTCGCTGCGTCTTGTTGGAATTACTACAGCGAGGCAAATTGTGAGCACACAACCCCGACTCTTTATAATATTTATGCAAATCCTCCTCCCCCCGCCTTGTTCTTTTTCCCGCCAAGCCTCAGCCCAGCCCAGCCCGGCCCCTCGCCGAGGCGAGAGAGCTGGAGGCGGCCGGCGGCCCTGAGCGCAGCGGCTGGAGCGGCGGCCGCGAGGAGCGAGTCCGGGGGTCCTCCCGCGCGCAGACCCTCCCCTATAAAGGGCGGGTGGGCGGGGATACTTGGAGAGGCTCTTTTTTTCTGTCTCCCCCGCCCTTTCTTTGGGAAATGGAGGAGTGCCGGTGGGGAGGCGGGACTGGAGGAGGCGGCCCTGCAGGAGGAGGGTCAGTTTTCGCTGCGTCTCTCTCGCTCCAGGGCGCCCAACTCTCGGATGTAAACAGTCTGAGCGCAGCCGAATTCGCTGCGAACCGACCATTTTCTTTTGCCTGCGCTTCATCTCGCCCCAGTCTCTGCGTCTCCTCTGGCGCAGCGCGCGGCTTGGCGAGCTGCGTACTTGTCCTGCGCGCTGAAGCCAGCCCAGGCGAGCAGCTGAGCCCGGACACTCGGGGACACCGCGTACCCACCGCCGCGCCACGCACGTCCCAGGCGGGCGGGCGCCTCCCTAAGGCTGGGAAAAGGGCAGCGTTTGGAAAATAAGTCCATGGAGAGAGGCGCAAAGAAGGGGTGCTCATGGACACGCGGCCCGAGGGTGTGGGGGGTGTTATGTAGGGGGGCATAAGTGATAGGGGTCCGGGGAGGAAGGTGATGTCTGGAATTATCACAGTAACTCAGCCACGCCACGCCACGTATACCTGCAGAATGCGTAATGGATAAGCACCCAGGGGATTCGTTCGGGGGGGCTTGTAATGAATTATGCATTATGTGTGTACAGTTATTTCGACTGGGCACCTTCCACCCAGAATGAATCCTCCAATTTGCTGCCAAAGCATAAAACACCCTCAGCCCCGCCTGCGCAGACCTACGCGGGGCTCCCCAGGAGTCCACTGTTCCCCCAGGGCGCGCTAACCCCCCCAGATCTCTGCGTGTTCCGGAACTGGAGGAAGGAGGCGCGCGAGGGCGCTCCGCGGGGGACCCTCCCCTTCTGCTCTCGGTCGCTCGGCGCCCCCATTCCACCCCTGCGCCTCTCCTTTGGGGTTCAGAGACGGATCCTTTTTGCTTCCCGTGGCGCCGGTTTGCACCAGTCTCCGACTCCCCGGTTTGGGGGGAATCAAAGGCGCTAGACGGGAGAATACTGCGAGGCGAGCGAGCAGAGGGACCCGGCTCTCCAGAAGGCGGGGAGAGCGCAGAGCTGGGGAGTCCGCCTCGGGAGCTGGCGAAGAAAACCGTTAACTCTTTCCTCTTCGGGCAAATCGGACGTTTACTTCCTTCCCGAGTCTGGCTTTCCTTTAATTGTTGGAATCATGATCGTGTACCAAAAAAAAAAAAAAAAAAAAAAAAAAAAGGTCGATTCTGATCAAAGGGACGGAACCGAGTATTACTTCCGTGCCTTTTTTTGGGGGTGTGTGTGGAGGGGGGGTGGTGTCTTGAGCCGAATCAAAATTGGCCGAATTTCAGGCATTAATTTCCTAGTTCACCGACTCTAATTTTTTTTCCGAAGAGCAGAGTGAAAGCGCATTACGCGTAATCTGCCTGCAGCCCCGCGCTCCCATCCAGAATGTGGCCCAGCACGACACCTGATTTGTTCGCTCCCTGAATGCATCTGTATTTCCTAGGGAATGCATATTCCCTCGGGATGTGCAACATCACACCAAGGCAATTTTCCCCATCCCTGGCCCCTCACCCAAACGCATTTTTTAAGTCAACTTTTCTTCTTACCCTCCCCACTTCAAAAAAGAAAAAAAAAATAATTCGGGGGGAGGGGTGCGAGCATGGAGTGCTTGTTGTCTAAGATAAATTATTACCGGTGGAGGCTGCTGCTCAGCCCTCGGTTGTAAATGAGTAGTAACTTCCTCCAGCGCGGGCGCACCGCACCATTCAGCTTTAAGGGTTGCAAATTACTCCAGCCACTAGGCCTTTGCCCCAACGCGTAACCGACCAATCCTGGGTCTCGGTTGTGCTGCAAAGCTCTACTCCCTGGTCGGCTCGCCTGGCAGCTCCGGTGCGAGGGCTGACGCGAAAGTAAAGTAAGTGTGCCCTCTACCGGGGGCCGGGGCGACCGCGCCCCAGGCCTGCTCGGGCTGGGGGTGGGGAGCTTGGGGGCGAGGCCTCGGAGCCCCGGGTTTCCAGGCCAGCCACGGAGGATGCTCAAGGCGGGTTCCCAGGATTATGGTTCCTTCTGGGCCCCTGCGGAGAGGCGCCTGGAAAAGTGTTTCAGAGCCTATTCGACGGCTAAGAGGTGGTGAAAATTAATTCATCACTAGCTATTGACAGCGAACATCACCCTATGGAGCATTGATGCTATTTATGGGAAATGAGAAGAAATGAGCAAGTAAACACACCAGGACAATTTCCAACCCAACTCTAAAGCAGCAAAACAAACTTCAGCCACTCCCCCACCCCCCCACCAGACACACACACCCCTCTGCGAAACACATCTAGTCACCAAGTTTAAAAGCAAGACCCTGGATTTATGGGGGAGGAGAGATATGGCGAAAGGGAAGGTGCTTTTGGCTTTGCTGAATCCTTTTAAAAACTACAAAAAAAAAATTGGACTGTGAACTATAGCCAGATGGATGCTATTAGCAAGGGGAGGGGGGCATTTGAGAGTCCATTAAAATAAAGCGTAAAGAACCATTTTATTTTTATTTTTTAAAAGCCACAAAGCAAACCCCCCCCCACCACCCATCACACCCCTTCTACACTCCCAGTGCCTCCCTCTTCACCTCTGGCACCACATTTGCATTTTCATTGTCCCCTAGTTTATTGAACAGACTAATTTTAATGTAATAGTTTCATACCGAAATGACTGACAATAAAGGTGAATGTGCAGGAAATTTATACAGCACGCTCCGTGGGTGTGAGTATTCCGGGAAGATTTTTAGGAGGAGGAGGGGGCTTGGTGCTGTCTGAACACCTAGACATGTCCCAGGATCCTTCTGGGCGATGCCTCTGAGGAGGGTTTCCCAGGAATCTCCCACTTTTGGTCTGAATGAACTTTTTATGGGGTCAGAACAAAAAAAAAAATCCCAAACCCCAAACTCAGCTGAGCCCCAAGCACCAGCAACAACAAAAACAGGTCTAGCTTGCTAGGAGGAAGTAGTGCTTGAAAGCTGCTAAATGTGGCAGCTATACCCAGTCCTGTAAGTTCTGATTCCTTGGTCATCCCTGCTGGTTGTATGGTACCGGTGGGGTTGGGGTCAGGACTCAACCTCATGGTCTCCTGGGGCTGGTGACCTCACCTGGGATGTTGCTTTCAAGTAACAGCTCGGAGTTGTTTTGTGCCTCCAAATAAAGTGGGCTGGTCCCGTTGCACAGCCGGTGGAACAGCAAGTCAGTGTCGCGGCTCATGGAGAGCAAGCGGCCCCACAGTCTTTCTTTCAGTAATTCTTAAGGCCCGTGTGACCTGGCCACTGGCTGGTTGAGGAAGGCTGAAGAGATGAAAATTAGTAACATCACTTGAGAGCACCAAAATGATCCCTGCTCCTTGTAAAAGAGAAACTTGCAATAGAAACATAAAGGAAAAAGAAAATTACAAGTGTGTCTAATTCTGATCCCCCAGAGAAGGTTGCTGGAGTTGCTCTTTTGAGATCTATAAAGGAACAACTTCCTTTTGGAAGTCACTGGAAGGTGTTTGTTGACTGAAAATTCCTGGTTTGAAGCTAAGGGGATCATGGGTCCCTTTTCTTCTGTGTCCTGTGGGGGTTTCTAAGGAGAGGGGCCTCCCCAAGGATGCTCAGTCATCATCCCCTGGGCTGGGCACCCAGGTCAACAGTGTGAGGAGAAGGCAGTGTCACTCTGGGGGATGACTTTCCCCAGGACGGAAGGAACAAGAATCATTCATTCAGACACCGTGTGTTCTCACAACAACAGTTGTGCTGCTTTTGTCCTTAGGAAGGAAAGAAAGAATGGCAGAGCCCAGGGACCAGACTCTCCTGTCTTTCCAGGGACACAAGGGGAGAGATTCAGAATGTGTGATGTGGAGACCAGACACTCCTGCCCTTTCTTTGGTTCTCTTTCTTCCCACACCTCAAAAACAGTTCTGATCTTCCACAGATAAGAGCAGTTAGGAATATGGACAGAAACTGGAGCCAGAGGATCAAACAAGCGAGTTCAACGTGAGGAGAAGAAAGAGCACCCCCCAGGACGGTGGGTGGTTACTGCTAAGCCCCTTCAAGTCATCTGAGGTCTGTCAAGGAGGAAGGCAAGGGCAGAAAATGATAAATGTGGAGCTCGCGCAGAAAGACGGTTTTGAAAGAAGGGCCTTTAGATTCAAAACCATGTTAGCCAGGAAAGCTTAAAGGAAGAGAGAGCCCCACGGCTGTCAGGCCAGCCAGGTATCCCGGGGGGGGGCAAGGAGAAAGCTTCCGCAGATGAGAAAATAAAATTCAGCATCACTCAGTCATAGGATAACAAAGAAGTCCGGGAAGAAACTCTTTCTGCATTTAAAAAAATGGCATGTCAGGGGCCTCCCCGGTGGCACAGCGGTTGAGTGCTGGGTTGCAAAGCTGCCCGCCGCCTCTGTGGCGCCAGTTCGATCCCCGGCTTCTCCCCGGCCACCAGAGGAGGGTCCCACATGGCGCGCAGACCTCTCCTGCCGCCCGCTGCTCCCCTCAGCACTGTGCTTCGTCAGTCTGCCTGCTCTGCTCCCCGCTCTGGCTCCGGTGAATTCTCTCACTCTCCCACACTTCTGACTGTACCCAGTGCT